AGAAGCAGACTCCCTGCCGAGCAGGGAGCCCGATGCGGGACTCGATCCTGGGACTCCAGGATCATGACCCGAGCCGAAGGCAGTCGCCCAACCAACTGAGCCACCCAGGTGCCCCAGAACCAGTGTTCTTAAGTTCTAGAGTAAAGAAGTTTAGAGGCATGCACAGCAAATTTTGACTTTCTGGTAAAGTGATATTCTAGATACTAGAATATTCCAGAGAACCAACATTTTAATTATTCACATACATTAAAAATAAACTAAGTGCATTAATTCCATATTTTCCTGTCTTCCTAGGGAGAAAAGCATAGTAATCACCAAGTAACACTTTTGTTCTGCAGAAAACCATAGTTCTGAATTGGTGCCAAATCTGCGAGTTGCCCCATGAATTACTAGGGGGAGCATTTTTAGGGGGTTTGCTTCTATCTTATTAAGGTGATAAGAATGTGCAGCTCTATGAACTAGCATGCAATAACAGTTCTTTTCTGCAAGGTTATAGGTCACAAATTAAAATTGGTCTTTTCCAAGTGGTTACCTTAACTCTGTTTTGGTTCCCAGATGGGCCTGAGACTGACTCTACTCTGTCTTCCAAGAAATCTTTAGAGTAAGATATACAATGCACCATTTCAGGAATTTTAAAGACATTTTGAAAAACTCTTCGTAGGCCTACAGGTTCATTATTGTTGTTGTGGTAAGATAATGCTTTAGGTGATTACTAGGCCACATTTTTCTTTAAGCCCTTCTTTTTTATTTATTTTTTTTTAAGATTTATTTATTTGACAAAGAGAGACACAGCAAGACAGAAAACACAAGCAGGGGGAGTGGGAGAGGGAGAAGCAGGCTTCCTGCCGAGCAGAGAACCCGATGCGGGGCTCGATCCCAGGACCCTGGGATCACGACCTGAGCCGAAGGCAGACGCTTGACGACTGAGCCACCCCTAAGCCCTTCTTTTTGGTAGATAAGAGAGTACTGTCCTTAAGCAACTTTTAAAATCTCTCCTTTGCTCTCATGCTGTTGAGTCTTCTGTGACACGGTACAGCAATGGGCTCCCTTCTGAGGTCAGTGCATCTCAGGTGATACATATATTGGTTGTATCATTGCAGGAGTTAATAAAATATAATGATTTTTTTTTAAAGGGAAAAACTAATGAAAAGTTTTCATTGCTGAGGCTGCTGGGATTTACCCGTAGCTTTTTTCCCCCCCCAGAGCTCTCTATTCACATTTATTAGCTCTTGCGGGATTTGCCACTTTAGCCAGTGTGAACCATTTTCAACTTAAGACCATCACAATCCGAAAATGCATTTAAGAGTGCCTGGGTGGCTCAGTCGGTTGAGTGTCCAACTCTTGGTTTCAGCTTGGGCTATGATCTCGGAATTGTGGGATCAGGCCCCCACATTGGAGCATGGAGTCTGCTTGGGATTCTCTGCCTCTCCCTTACCCCCCAAATAAGTAAATAAATAAAATCTTAAAAAAAAATAAAATGCCTTTAATATACCCCTAACCTATGAAACACCATAGCTTAACCTAGTCTACCTTAAATGTTCTCAGGACACTTAAAGTAACCTCCACTTAGGCAAAATCATCTTTACACAAAGCCTATTTCATAAATAAAGTATAGACTGTCTCAACATAATTTATTGCATACTGTACTTTAAGTGAAAACCAGAGTGGCTGTGTGGGGGCAGGATGGCAGTGGGTGCATTAGTTATGGACCCACACGATTACGTGGCTGACTGGGAGCTTCAGCTGCCTGACATCATGAGAGAGAATAGAACAGTGTATTGCTAGCCCAGGGAACTATCAAAATTCAAAATTTGAAGTACAGTTTCTACTGAATGCCTATTACTTTTATACCATCATAAAGTCAAAGAATCATAAGTTGAACCATTGCAAGTCAGGGACCGTCAGTACCTACCCAACATGCACTCTGATGAAACAGTCCAAGTTCTGATTTGGTAATGAGTACAGCCTTATTCAGCATCTTGAATAAATCATTTTGTAAACAATTTTACCAACTTTCCTGGGGGCGCCTGGCTGGCTAAGTGAGAAGAACATGTGATTCTTGATCTTTCGGTCATGAGTTCAAGCCCCATGTTGGGTGTAGAGGTTACTAAAAAAAAATAAATAAACTTTAAAAAAAAAAAATTTTACCAGCTTTCTTGCAGAACTTTGTTGCATAGTATAGATTAACTGCCAACTGTGCTGGTCCATCTCCACTTCCTTGTGTTCAGCATTTTGGAGTTGGGCCCATATTTCTTTTTCTTTTTCTTTTTCTTTTAAGATTTTATTTATTTATTTGACAGAGAGAGACACAGCGAGAGAGGGATCACAAGCAGGGGGAGTGGGAGAGGGAGAAGCAGGCTTTCCGCAGAGTGGGGAGCCCCATGCAGGGCTCGATCCCAGGACCCCGGGATCATGACCTGAGCTGAAGGTGGACGCTTAACGACTGAGCCACCCAGGCACCCCTGGGCTCATATTTCTATTTCCTCTCTTAAGTCACCAATTTTTAAAATGCCTCTGCCCGGGGCACCTGGGTGGCTCAGTTGGTTGAGCGTCCCGACTCTTGATTTCAGCTCAGGTCATGATCTCAGGGTTGTGAGATCGAGCCCCTCATTGGGCTCTGCACTGGACCTGGAGCCTGCTTAAAATTCTCTATCTTCCCTTCTCCCTCTGCCCCTCCCCTCCCGAAATAATAAAAAATAAAAATAATAAAATGCCTTCTGCCCTTTTTTTTCTCTCTTTTTTTTATTTTTTATTTTTAGATTTTATTTATTCATTCATGAGAGACAGAGAGAGAGAGGCAGAGGGAGAAGCAGGCTCCCAAGGAGCAGAGAGCCCGATGCGGGACTCGATCCCAGGACCCTGGGATCATGACCTGAGCCGAAGGCAGACGCCTAACCATCTGAGCCACCCAGGCGCCCTGCCTTCTGCCCTTTGCCTTTTGTTAGAAATCTAGAATTCAGAGGTGGCTTTTCTACCAAACCTGTTTTGCTCCTTGTACTGCTCTGTGGCATCCTGGCCTAGCCCATTCCTGTAACGAGGAGCAGTCTGGGATCTGTAAATCTGTGTGTGATCCACTAGCTCATAACCTTGGGTAGTCGTGTCACGTTTGTAGAGAATGTTTTCAGTCTGGAGAATGCAGTGTTACAGTTTTATGGTCTCTGTATCTTCCCCCTGAATTGGGCTAGTGGTTGTGCTTCCAGCATTCCCTAACTCAAACACATTGTGGCCTTGAGGGTGAGTAGAGTAGGACTTGCCATGCTTTTTCATTAAAATATGTTTTGTGTATGAGGACACGTGGACAGATGGTGCATGCAAGCAGCAGCCTGACACACCTGTTCGGTGGCTGACCCGGGACTGGATCCCTGTGATCCTGAAGATGGGCCAGAGAAGCTCTGGAGAAGTCTAGAAGCTCTCTTCTGGAGAGCAGGCTTATTTAGTCCCTTCATTCTCCAGCATCAGTGTTTGCTGTTTTCCCAAATCTCCTCTCCCAAACTGTTCATTTCACCTGCCATGCTCCTGTCTGCTTGGGTTAGTGCTAGATGTTCAGGGGTCAGACCCTGGTTTTCCGAGACCATTTCTTTTACTTTTTAATTTTAACTGTAAGAGTTGATGTGCTGGTTGTTTGAAGTCACGTGAAGTCTTGCATCCATGTAACTGATCATACTTCAGATAATGCCTTTTACAAACAAACGAAAATGGCAACATAATTGTCTTAGTGGCTGCCTTTTTAAGAGTGTGAAACGGAAATGATTTGATTTTTTCCCCCCCTTGTCTTAATTCTCTTTAGGTTTTGAATGAAGAATGTGATCAGAACTGGTACAAGGCAGAACTCAATGGGAAAGATGGCTTCATTCCCAAGAATTACATAGAAATGAAACCACATCCGTAAGTTGGACTCTACTGGTCTTCCAGGAGTCAGACCCATCTGCTTATTTCAAATAATGTTTTTATTTTATTTTATGTTTTTAAAATTGAGATCCTTGGGATAGGTGTCATACCTTTTACTCTATCTTCCCAGAGAATTAACAAAGCATGTTGATTTTGCATGTTAATAGTAGGACATAATAATACTCCACGCCCAGCACAGAGCCCGCTGCGGGGCTCAGTCTCAGGACCCTGTGATCATGACCTGAGCCGAAATCAAGGGTCAGACGCTTAACCAACTGAGCCACCCAGGTGCCCCAGTAGTACGTGTTTTAGATTGATAATGGTTGCTGTTGATATTTAATGAAGCAGTTGTTTCACTTAAAACAATAATTTATATACTATTACATAATATAGTACATGTTTTGGATTGATAATACCTGTCAGTGATCTTCAAATAATAAAACTATAGAAATGTCATTCCCTGATTCTTTTTCATAAAACCCCTGAGGCCAGATCTGTTTCATAATTCTCCATTTTTTGAGTCTTAGGAAGTGTACTTACCACATAGTTTTGTTGATATGTTTGATTGCCCTGTAAGACTGTTATCCTTTTAATCTTCGTATCCCCCGAGCACAGTGCTTGGCAATATAATAGGTTCTCAATAAATGCTTATTGTAATTACTATCCTTGCCTACCACTTAGTGTTCCCACTTCAGAGAATTCAAAATAATCTCCTACCCCAGGCTGTTGAGAGCAGTGAACTTTTTTCTTTTTTTTTTCCCCTCCCTCGGAACGTCCCCTCCCCCACCCAGTTTATATTGATATGCGACAGACATGGTGGGACCACTCTCCTCCCACCCTCACCCATGACCTCCTTCGCTGGCCCTGCTCCTCCTTCAGAAGCAGTCCCTTCCATCCTGTGTACATCAGGGGGAACTGAGGCTCAGTGCTCAGGCTGGAATGTCACTGAGACACAGAGGAGCAGCAGTTTCTGTCTACTTAATTTAACACAAATGATAAGTAAGACCTTTAGATGACTTGACCCACCTCAAGTGGCAGCCCATTTGTCCCTCTCCTTCATTGTCACTCCTCTAATGTGTGCCTGTCATTTCTCTTCCCCCCCCCCACCGAGCCACCAGAACAGAGATCTTAACCACATCTTATACACAGAGTTCAAAGGGGCCTTCGATCATCTAGTTCATTCCTCTTTATCTTAAAAATTAGGAAAGTTTCTGGTATTTTTATTTCAATGCCAGTAATTTATGAATTTGGTTCTCATTATAAAAGACAGCGTAGAGGGACCCCTGGGTGGCTCAGTCGTTAAGCGTCTGCCTCGGCTCACGTCATGATCCCAGGGTCCTGGGATTGAGCCCTGCATCGGGCTCCCTGCTCTGCGGGAGGCCTACTTCTCCCTCTCCCACTCCCCCTGCTTGTGTTCCCTCTCTCGCTGTGTCTCTCTCTGTCAAATAAATAGATAAAATCTTAAAAAAAAAAAAAAAAAGGACCTCATAAAGCAAGGCCCTTTTATAATTTTCTTCTCCCAAGTAGTTGGTAGAATTCAGATACTTCTTGCATTCTCCTTGCCCCATAAGAAATGTCAGTTTATATCATGAAATGTCTAAATGAGTTCCAAAGGATAGATAACAACTGATTTTGAGAGTCATTTCAGTCAGGGTCCTGGTAGGAAATACATGACACACTTAAATCAGCTAATTTGAGGAGACTTTAGTAATGAGACTCTTTACAAGGTGTAGGCAGGGCTTCTCTGAAAAACCATAGGGGATGGTGCAGTGCCCAGAGCTAGGAACCAGGTTTCCATCTTGAGGCCTGAAGAAGAGCGAGACAAAGGAAGTAGGGGGAGTTACCAGAACCTGGGGGAGAAAAGGACTGTGTCAGGAGGGCTGAGACCAACAGTTGAAGATCCGGGATTGTCCACAGAAACCCCCGAACTGGAGAGCATCCAGAGCAAGAGATCCTGTAAAGGAGCCTGTTGATGGGGTCCACACAGGACAGAGTAGGGTGTGAGCCAGATCTGGAGAGGCAGATGGAAGATACCAACACAGGGGTACCATCTGCCTTTTAAAATTATTCTTTTTATTCATGGTGGCCTTAAAAGAGAGAAAGTTGCCCAGTAGGGCATAGGTTTTTTTTAATGCTTTTCAGAAAAAAATCAGTGGCGAGGAGAGACACCACTGAGCCACATCTCATTACCAAGCAGTTTGGATTCCACGTCCAAAAAGGTCTTGAATGTGAATCCTTCCCTCTCCTGCACTGCCCCTCCCCGTGCAAACCCTGTCATCGGTGCCCACAGCTATAGTGTGTTCCCTGCACTTGTGCAGTGCAGCCAGCAGAACGTGTGGAAAATGTACACCTGGGTGTCACTCTTCCGTGCCTTCTGATTGTCATCCTTAGCCTCCACTTTTCATTCCCCCATTTGTACATGATAACCTTCTGCCCACAGCATCCACAGGAGACCCTCTGGATCTCCCCTCAAAGGTCACTCTCTGCCTGCCTCCCCTAACCCTAGACTAGGTTAGGTCCCATGTTTTGTGTTCCCTCACGCTATACTTAACGATAATCCACACTTTCACCTTAGTATTGTAATTACCTGCCTGACTGCCTGCACTCGCCTCCACTGTGGGAATAGGAAGTGGGGACTTACCACTCTATCCAGTACCTCTCTCTTGTGATCGCAGACTGTCCTAATTTGGAGCTAGATTCACTGCATGGGAAGTGGAAACACATTGTAACTAGCTTTTTTAGTTCTCAGTGTTAACATCCTAGGTGTAAGGACCTCTGGGCTTGAGTTTTTCAGAGGCCTAGATCCTTATGCAGCTGTCAGTGATTAGCTCACTGACGTTGGTTTTCTGGTGTGGTGAGGTTTTGTTGTTTTTGGTTTTTTCTTTCAGTTAGGTTCTCTTAGGTGGCTCTCGGGTCACAGAACGACTATAAATCAATAGACTCGGGTTCCCATCTTGAATCAATAAGACCTTAAGTGAAATTTAATAAACTCTGCTGTCATGAATTTTTTGGACGGTGGGGGGGGGGTTGTTGTTGGGAGTTCCTGTCTCCTGTTGTATTTATTATGGTGAAGCAGCAGGAAGTAAATAGGTCTCAGAGGGTGGAATTGGTAAATGGGAGCAGGGTTTCCCATCCTTAGAAAATAGTAACTCCTGTGCTCTGGCCTCTCCTTGTTCTTTATTTTGTTTGGTTCTTGGAGGAGAGGGTTGTAGAAATTGACCCAAGATTGAAAGCCTTCTGTTGTCAGTAAACAGTATGGCAAAGACAGTATGTTTTATAAATATATATTGTTAAAGTGAGAGATTATTTTGGTCACTTCCATTTGGGAAATTCTGATACTGTTAGTAAAGTTTTACTTTTCAATTTAAAGAAGCGTAACCAGTCATTTAGTTAATGGCAGCCAAGTGTGGCCAAGAGAATAACCCATCCAGCATTTGTTTGATAGCAAGTCGGGAAGTGTGCCATGTTCCTTCCCCTCACAGTTCTGCATGGGCTGAGCAGAGCTAAAGATGCAGACAAAGAGTGTAACCTAGTTCACACTTTATCCAAGAAGTGTTCCTGTGTCCCCCCTGTGTCCCGGACTCAGGTCTTTTTCTCTTCAGTGTTTGGAACCCAGATATGTTCTGTTGAGTTGATACTTATCATAGTACCCATTATTATCTCCTCTCCTGGCATCCATCTCCCTGTGTTGCACCTAGCAATTTACTAAACTCTAAGCTCCTTGGGAGGTGTAGCCATTGTATCCTCAGATCACATAGCTCAGGGCTTGGCACTCTTGTGACAAAGTCCTTGCCTGGTACAAGCCATCGTATGATTGCTGAATTTTGCAAACGCACCGAATTTTCTCTCTTGAAACTCCCTGATACCTCTGTCTCTTCCCCTCCCGCATCTCTCCCAACCCCCTGCAGTAATAATTCTGACATTCTGAGAGCATTTTACGCTTCTCTTTGAGCAATCAGCTACACCAATGTAATGTCTTCCATGAGTCACAAAACACAAAAGACAGTTATTTTGAATGGAAACTCTTGGTACCCCTTTGGTAGAAAGAGTTTATTTTGGGGTATTGCCTGTGCATTTAGGTTTCACTGCCTCCAGATTTATCTGGGTGGAGTAATATCACATAAGTGTGAACTACCTTCCTGTTTTGTTAAAATGTCCTGAGCAGCTTTTCTTAATGACAGCTGAACCTTTAGAGGTTGATGAAAGTATCTGATTTGGTTTTTGAGTTACTTAACTGTTTCTCAGAGAAAGAGGAATATCTGTAATTTGATTGGCCTTCTTAATTGTTCATCTTTTTACACGTATAAATATTATAAAGGAAGTCTTACATTTAAAAACAAATGCACTAGTGGTCCTCAGCTTTTAATATAATCAGTGTGTGTGTGTGTCTAATCATTTTTCTGTCTACATCAACCTAGCTGCCATTCAGTGGAAGAATAGAAAAGTCCCAAGATCTAGGGGCCAGTTGGTTGAACGTCCCACTCCTGGTTTCAGCCCAGGTCATGGTCTCAAGATTGAGCCCCTCATCGGCCTCTGCATGGTCTCTGCGCTCAGTGCAGAGTCTGCTTGTCCCTCTGCTCCTCCCGCACCACCACCACTCATGTTCTCTCTCTCAAATAAATAAAATCTTTTTAAAAAATCATTTAAAAGAATAAGAAAATTCCAAGGTCTTCCAGGCTGTCTTTTAGATTTTATTTATTTACCTGAGAGAGAGAGAAGCTGGGGGGAAGGGCAATGGGAGAGGGAGAAACAGACTCCCCGCTGAGCGTGGAGCTTGATGCAAAGGCTCAGTCCCAGGACCCCAAGATCATGACCTGAGCCAAAGTCAGGAGCCCCTTCCAGGCTGTCTTTTGTAAAAATTTTGCTGGAAAATTTTTAGCTATAAAATAATACCCTGTAAAAATCAGTCAGAAGTCAAACTTGCAGACTGAACCAAGCATCTCCACTTTCCAGGATGTGCTCCCCTGCTGCCCATTAGTA